TTCCATATTTTTGTGCTTTTTCATGGTGATTTGTTTAAAATGGCCACCCATGCGCAGTGCTAACGTGCCACCTAGTGTTCCTAAGCACAAGAAGGCTGTGATGTGTCTTCCAGAGGAAACTACGTACTAGATAAGTTTTGTTTAGACTTGAATTACAGTGCTGTTGGCTGTGAGGTCAGTGTTAACAAGTCAATAATATATTTGAAGCGTCTTTAAACATAAGACAAGATTATGTATTGATTGATTAATGAAAACGTTGTGACCGGAACCCTGTTTTTTCGCTAGGAACAATGGTTCAATATTTGCTAATTCAGTGGTTGGGGGCAACTTTATAGAACAGGATTGCTGCAACTAAGAAAAGTTGACTGTAGCTGGGCCTCATCCTGAAGTTACTGATCAGATTCTTTCCACCCCTTCCTACGGGTGAGGTTCTGATGGATTTAGATGGACACTTGTAAAGTAGCTGTCATCAAGATGGATCTCTGGTTGCACAGCTTCATATTTAGAAAAATCTGGACCGCAGCTACCCCGCTCAACTTGAGGGGAAAGCAGTGTACCAGTTCCAAGGAGATCTAATGTCTCAGGGGATCTGATGTCTTGAAGATAGGTAGGGTAGCCATGAAGGTCTCCTACAAGCATGTCAGATATTAGTGCCTAGAGTGTTTCTGAGACGTCCATTTTCTAGAGACTGTGTTTACCTTTGACTTCCCAGACTCTAGAGGTCTGGAGTCATTCAATGCTTGGTGAATAAATAATTTTGGTAATTGTCTACATTGAAGACTAAAAAACACTACTGAGAGAAGAAGAGATGTATATCATGTTCATGAATTAGAGGACTCAATATTATTAAGATGTCCATTACCTTCCAAACTGATCTCCAGATTCAGAGCAATACAAAGCAAGATCACATCAGGTTTTTTGTTTTTAAAGAAATGTGTTAAGGAAATATAAAAGATCCAGAATCGCCAAAACAATCTTGACAACACAGATAAGAGGGCCTACACTACCTGACTTCAAAGCTACCTATAAGCCTAGAGTAATGAAGGCCGTGTGTTATTAGTGCAAGGATGAGTAGACAGAGTCCAGAAGTAGACCCTCTTATATAGTCAATTAATTTTAAACAGAGGTACCACACCAATTCAATGAAGGGAATATTTCCAACAAAGGAAGCCAAATCAAACATTACGGAAGGTCAGTGGGAGGAAGATCCTCATTCCTTGTCTCACATCATACATAAAAATGAATTTGAGGATGCTCTTAGACCTAAACATAAATGTTTAACTCCTTTTCATGTGCTTGTTGGTGACTTATATTTTTTCCCCTAAAATATCTACGATGCTTTCAGATGAAAATTCTTTCAGAAGAAAACATAGAATATCTTCATGGCCTTGAGGCTGACAAAGTTTTTAGAAGATACAAAAAGCACTTAACCATAAAAGGAAAAAAAAACTGAGCTTCGTCAAAATAAAACATGTCTGCTCCCCAGAGGCATGATAAGAAAATAAACGGGGGTTGGTAGGGGGTGTGTGGTGGCTCACATCTGTAATTCCAGCGCTTTGGGAGGCCAAGGTAAAAGGATTGCTGAGCTCAGGAGTTCAAGGTTATAGTGGGCTATGATCACATCACTGCATTCCAGCCTCGGCAAAAGAGTGAGACACTGTCCCCTCTCCCCAAAAGAAACTAAGGAGACATGCAACAGCACAGATGCAATAGAAATCAGAAAAAGGGTTGCTGGGACACGAAGGGGGAATGAATTCACCACAAAGGCACAAGGGGAATTTCTGGATGATGGAAGGATTCTTTACCTGGATTGAGGTAAAGGTTACACAGGTGAACTATAATTCTACAGTCTGTGCACTTTACTGTCTATACATTATATCTAAATACAAAGCATTTTACCTTAGAAAATTAGTACTAAAAAACCCGATTTATCAGAGGGCCCTCTGCCTCTTCGAATAAGTAGAGCTCACAGAAGTGTGATCATTTAAGTCCATTTGCCGTAGCCTTGTCCTTTGAGTCAGTGCTTCAATACAAAACTTAAATTGGTTTTGCATTCACCGAATTTTCTGATAACATACTTCTAATACAAATTTTGTCCTAAATTTATTGTGCATCATATTCTACTTGTACTTTATTCATTTAAGACAGAAGTTACTCTAAAGATAGCCCCAACACACAACACCTTTTTTTTTTTTTTTTTTTTTGAGTTGGAGTCTCACTCTGTCGCCCAGACTGGGGTGCAGTGGCCGCTCCCGGTCACTGCAGCCTCGACCTTCTGAGCTCCAGCAATCCTTCCACCTCAGCCTTCCAAGCAGCCAGAATTACAGGTGCGTGCTACCATGCCCAGCTAATTTTTTGATTTATTGTAGAGATGAGGTCTCGCCAAGTTGCCCAGGCCGGTCTCGAACCCACGGGCTCAGGCAATTCACTCACCTCAGCCTCCCAAAGGCACGGGATTACAGGCTGAGCCACCGAGCCCGGCTACACCTTTTTAAATGTAAGAACAAATGCCTAGATAAATGGATTTGTCCAAGATCATACTCTTATTTCATTTCAGAAATACATCAGTGATGCATTGTTGGTTGGGTGTGGTGGCTCACACCTGTAATCCCAGCACTTCGAGAGGCTGACGCAAAGACTGCATGAGCCCAGGAGTTCAAGATCACCCTGGGCAACACAGATCTCATCTCTACAAAAAATCAAAAACATTTGCTGGCTGTGGTGGCGTGCGCCTGTAGTCCCAGCTACTATGGAGACTGAGGTGGAAGGATTGCTTGAGCCCAAGAGGTCGAGGCTGTGATGAGCAGAGATTGTGCCACTGTACTCCAGCATGGGTGACAGAATGAGACCTCGACTCAAACCAACCAACCAAAAAAAATGATGCACTGTCGATCTTTGCAAATAGTAACAACTGGGCAAAGACAATTGCTTAACTTTTAAAATAAATGCAATTAAATTAGTGTGTGTGTTTTAACTGGCAATTGAGGAAGCATTAGGGAAAATGTTTGGGTGTCCAGAAGTTGGAATATTCTAAGTATACATTTATATACATTATATCAGTTATATACATACATGTATGTATTTTTGAGTTGGGAGGCTCGCTCTGTCACCCAGGCTGGAGTGCAGGGGCACGATCACCACTCACTGCAGCCTTGACCTCCTGGGCCCAAGCAATTCTTCCACCTCAGACTCCCGAGTAGCTGGGACCATAGACGCACATCACATCTGGCTTTTTTTTTTTGGAGAGACGAGGTCTTGCTATTGCCCAGGCTGGTCTTGAACTCCTGGGCTCAAGCAGTCCACCTGACTCAGCCTCCCAAAGTGCTGGGATTATGGGTGTGAGCCACCATGCCCGGCCTGTGTTAATATGTATATATTTATTTTTGACAAGGGCCGGACAGAGTGTGGGTGGCTCCTGTGTTCCCGGGCACTGTGGTCCGAGATACAGCGGTCCAGCAGCCTCACTGACGAGGCCACCCTCAGTTGTTCCTCTGCACCAAGGATTTTCTATTACAGCAGACATTGCCGCGGATTAAGGATCCTAAGAAGTCACTGGATTTTTATACTAAGGTTCTTGGAATGATGCTAATCCAAAAATTAGATTTTCCTACTATGAAATTTTCACTCTATTTCTTGGCTTATGAGGATTAAAATGACATCCCCGAAGATAAAGATGAAAAAGCCTGGCCATTCTCCAGAAAAGCTACACTTGAACTGACACACGACGGGGACACTTAAGATGATAAGACCCAGAGTTAACACAGTGGCAATTCAGACCCTCGAGGATTTGGTCACACTGGAATTGTTGCTGATGTGCATGGTGCTTGTAAAAGATCTGAAGCACTGGGAGTCCAATTTGTGGAGAAAACTGAGGATGGTAAAATGAAAGGCCTTGCATTTATCCAAGAATCCTGATGGCCACTTGATTGAAAATTTGAATCCTAACAAAATGGCAACTGTTGTTTAGTGCTGTGAGAATGCTCCCTCGAGATTTTAGTAATGACAGAGATTAAAAAGGAAAAAAAAATATTGTGTGTGTGTGTGTGTTTTGAGTAGGAGTCTCACTCTGTCACCCAGGTTGAAGTGGAGTGGCACGCTCACGGCCACCACTGCAGCCTCGACTTGCTGGGCTCAGGCAGTCCTTCCACTTAGGCCTTCCAAGTAGCTGGAACCACAGGTGCACACCGCCACACCCGGCTAATATTTTGATTTACTGTAGAGATGAAGTTTCACCAAGTTGCCTAAGCTGGTCTTGCAACCCGAGGCTCAGGCAGTCTTCTCGCCTCCACCTCCCAAACTGCTGTGATTATAGATGTGAGTCACCGCGCCTGGCCTGAGTTAATATATTTTATTTTACTTTATTTTATTTTTTTGAGTTGGAGTCTCACTCCATTGCCCAGACTGGAGTGCAGAGGCATGCTCCCGGCCACCACAGCCTCGACCCACTGGGCTCCGGCGATCCTTCCGCCTCAGCCTTCCAAGTAGCTGGAACTACAGGCATGTGCTACCATGCCTGGCTAATTTTTGATTTATTGTAGAGATGAGGTCTCGCCAAGTTGCCTGGGTGCGTCTCGAACCCGCAGGCTCAGGCAATCCACTCACCTCGGCCTCCCAAAACACTGGGATTACAGGCTGAGCCACTGAGCCCGGCCGAGTTAATACATTTTGAAAAGCACTTATTTTATATGGACCAGGGCTTTTCCAAATGCACACTGGCTCTTGGCTGCTTTATCCTGAATGATGCGATTTCTAGTGGAAGTGTGTTGGTTTTACAGTTGGTGCATTTCTGTCAGATCCTTTTTCAGGAGTTGTTCTGATGACTTGTAAAACCTGGGTCATCAAATAACTACATTTTAAACAACTGAAGTCAGTGAATGTCATAAATGATATTGCCATCACTATAATGGACAGTAAATGCAGTCAGATTTAACTTAAACCAAGTTTGGCTGTGATGAGCAGAGAGAGACTTAAATGCTTAAATAACAGAGATACACTTTAACTATATAGGAAAACTTTTATTTGATAAATATAACTTCATAAACGTTAAAAAATTATGAGAGCTGCACAAATGTACTACATTTACCAACAATGCAGATAATTTTCCAAGGATCACATGAGCCGGCCACAGTGTCTGAGGTCCAAAACTCTAGACTAAGTTTTGCTACAATATTTCCAGCTACTCATTCCTCACAAAAATCCACCCTCATGGTCATTACAAACATGTCATTCATTACGATCTATTTTACGTAGGAATATTATTCAAGTTATATCGCATAAAACAGCACTTTAAGAATGTTTTAATTTTATGAAAATAGATAACTCATTTCAAGAGACAAATAAAAACGTCTATAAATGGGGACCAAAGTTTAAACATGTTTTTCATGAACTCTTTGGTGTGTTACTTTTATTAATACCCGCTTATATCAAACTCCAAACTGATTTTTACAGGAAAAACGCAAACATGAAAGATTTTTCCCTTTCCCCAGCCTCCAAGTGACATTCAGAGTCGTATACTTTTAAAACTTTCTGCTCTTCGTTGTCAATTTTTTAGAGGCCTTGATTTCTGCTTATCAGGGCTCTCAAGCTACCAAACAAGTTCAAACCATCTTCTGCACTAGAAATGACTTCTGTCCCGGTACTAATAATAGGTCCGCGTGCAGGTGTTTCCTAACGGGATTTGCCTCGGTTTCATCTGCTCTTCAGGAGAGGCCTGGGTTTGGCTCAGGTCTGGAAGCCCGTGGACATCATGGCGCTTCAAACCCGAGGAGGGCAGGTGGGAAATGCAGACTGTAACCTCTCTCCCTCTCTCTCCTCAGCGCCACAGCAAGCCTTTCTCACCTCTGCTCCTGCCAGAGTGAGTCTACACTCGCTAAGCCGAGGTGGGGTGCTGAGTCACCAATTCTGGAAGCGGACTTGGTCTTGCACTATCTCCAGGCTTACAGCCGCAGACTAGGCAAAGGCAGGCGAGTGTGGCAGACAGCTTTGAGACCCGCGATTAACTTAAATAATACATTTAGCATCTTATTCTGGCTTTGGCAGATAAGAATAAGTTAATTCTCAACATCACACTTTCCAACGCAACAGGGAAACTTCTCGTAATTACTGGTTATATAGTAGTAATTTTATGAGATGAATATGAACACTACCAAATGATGAAAGCTTGTATATTGCCCTATCACTTTTTTCAATAAATAGGAGAAAACTCTTCTCTTAAAATTACAAGGCAATCTTCCTTTAAAAATAGAGTAGGTTTTGAACAAGTAGAATGAGTGCACCGGTGGACACCATTTGCTTTACTTTTTGGAAATGAAGTTCCCCTTAACTAGCCTCAAATGCGGAGTGCAGAAAATCCTGTCACTCTCAGTACCACACGGGCTAGCTGACCTCCTGTCTTGCTGCGTTTGGTCACAGACTGCTTGAGGACTTTGTGGTCCCTCTTTCGTGTCAGCAGTCAGTCTGATGGCAAACAAACCCCAAAAGGTAGGTAGGATGCAGGCCTGAATATCATTTTGCTGTATGTATGTTTTACAAGATACTCGACAAGAAAGCAAATTCCATATCATCCTCTATTAAACTACTCTGAATATTTCTACAATATTTCCTCTTCTGGAACATGAATTAGTGAATGTGTATATTGTATACTATATTATCCCTTGAAAGTATTTCCAGAATAACAGATCTTCCTAAACCCAACTCTGGAACATCTAAGTTAATGGGCTATTTTTGAAAATCAATATTTAGCCTACAATTAAGAATTTAGTATCTTTGTATTATCGAAACAAACAAATGTCATATCAGCATGAAATAGTTTACCACAAAAAAAGGTAAAGTCTTAAATCTTAGTTCTGCCACTCTTTTCCTACCAGTCCAATTCTAGAAGGCTTATCATGAAACTAGAAGGGGTGCAAGGTTGCATAATACATTTCCATAAAGGAATTATTACATTTTCAAGGAAAAATCTAGCAAACCTCATTTATCCATTTCCTTACAATTCTAAATAGGCATACAATCATTATTTGTGTAGAGCTGGGTAATAGTTCTTAAACTAATTTCTAAATCTTAAAACATTACTTCTTAAAAAACCAAAAACAAATTATAATACTGAATCTATATGATATATTTAGGATGGAAATTAAGTTTTGAAGTGCAATGAGTTAATTATGGTAACATGTACTTGATTAATCATTCTTAGCATTTTAATTTATTGCTGTCACGACCTGATACAAATTTAGTATTTCAGACTTTGTTTCATTTACATTCCATAGTCACACCTGACAATATACTTTATAATGGGACACAGGGCAGAATTCACTTCACTGTGGTAGTCTGCTGTAACTTAGACAACAAATGCTAACCTAAAAATAACAAGATTCTTAACTGAAACCCTTTATTCTAAAGTCTAGCTTACAGAACGACAAGAGCAATTCTAAGTTGGCCACAGAAAGAGTCTCTTCTCTTTATTGATTTAATTATCCACAATATTTTGATTTGTATAATTAAAAGTATTTGCAATACTTAAATACTGTCCAAACTTGTTTATTATTGACATAGTTGAACTTTACAACATTATCATCAAATACTATATACAGAGCCTTCAGATAGAGGAAAAAAGCAAATTTAAATATATTAATCAGATTAAAGCATGCAAAAGATCTGATAAAGACATTAAATTAATAATATGCTAATGTATCTAATTTACCCATTTATAGGGTCTTCATATTCTGCCACAAAATGTGAATAAACATCAATTTGAAATTTGGTGAATGGACCCGATTCCTGATTAATATATCAGATATGATATATCTTTGCATTTATGTTGCAAACTTTACAGGCTGTATTACAGTACAGTCAGAGGAATCTGGTACTGGTAGAAATTTACTACCCATACCGTGGTAAATAATGGTTGAAAATTATTCTTCTAATTTGCTCTGTGCACTTAGAAAGCATTAATGAACGAACAACACAGGTCACTGAGGGACCCAGATTCTTCACTATTCACATTAACTTTTCCCATGAAAAGCTTCAAATATAACTCTAATAAAAAAATAGAGTTCTCAAGGCAAACTTTCAGCATAATTTACAGAAGCAGATTTAAATAGAAGTCATTAACCAAGCTAATCCTAAAAAATACACATAACTAGGTTTATCTCTTTTCTATCTTGATAGTAAAATATAGTGGCCTCAGCAAGAGGCTGAAATGCCCTTAAGGAGTCCCATTAGCATAAGGGACAAACCAGACAAAGAGATGGAAAATGTCTCTTTATTCACAAATTTTAACATGCTCAGATTCAAATTAGTGGGGGTGGGAGGGCTATACTAGGGGTGGTGTTGATGCTTTCTGTTTGTGTGCCATTATAGCTCTGAGTGGGTCTGAACTATTCCAGAGATTTCAAAAAGTAATGTCAGAGCTAACATGGCTATTAACAGGATGATCACACTGAAATTTGGGAAAGGAGGGGAAATGGCTCCCACAAAGTACTACTGGCCCTTTAACAAGTAGATGAGTCCATTGTGGAGAGAGTCAAGATGCTCCTGTCGTTGGTATAGAAAGGATCCGATGCACTCCATGATCTAAGGCAACAATAAGAGAAAAGTTGGGCTCACCAGGACCTATGTTTTAACTGAGAAAAAAATTCACCCTAAAACGTAGGACCCAAATGCAATTTGAGTTTTAAAATAATCACTGATTGATTTCATTTTTAAATGCTAAAGAGAAGTTCTTCATACTAGTATCAAATGCCCATTCTATTTATATTATACAAAAACTTGGGAAAAATAATGCTCTAGTCATATAAAAATATCAGCCAAACTACAGACATTCATTAGCATTAAACTGTTCCTATATGTCGTAAAGCATAAAATGCTTTTAAAATCTTAACAGTTCATTAAGAAATAAGTATGTTATTAAGAGTTATGTGGGTTCAGTTTTACTGAAACAGTCTGTTTATTGAAACAAACAAAAATCCCACTTACCAAAAGTTTTGGAATGAAACAGTAGTATGTTCATTTCTTTTCAGCTATAGATTCTATTCTAAGGACTTTAGCATAATTAACTTAAATATAATCAATGGTCTATTCAAAAGGTATCAAAGACACCTGTAGGTCACTAGCATTTTCTTTTAACTAAGAACAAAATGATCTTCTACTGGCCTGAAAAAGTTAACTGCTGTCTGTATGATAAGGCCTTTAAGCAACTCATTACGGAATATTTTACTTGCAGCTGTAAACTTAAATTAGCTTGAGTTAATTTAAGCTAAAAAAACTCAAGACCAAAAGTCGCCTTCCATGTTTAAAATAGAATAACCTACTCAAGGACAATCTTAGAATTACCAAGTGAAAGGTGGCTTTTCTCGAGATTAAATACATATCATGTAAATTTTGCCAGGATTCTCACCTTCCCTAAATAGATGTCAGAGGAAGAGACTAGCATGTTAAATGGCCCCAATACACCTTTATCAAGTAACTTTCCCAGAGACTCTAAGTTTGTATGTAGTTAAAGTTCAAGCCAATTATTAATGAGCATAGCCTCATAATTTGAAATCTCGAAATTTTTACAAAGTTAGCAAACAAAAAACCAAGCAGCATCTATACCAGTTCTCTAATTTTACCGCTTTCCAGAAAAGCCGGAACAATATTTACCTCAGTTTAAGGAAGGGCTTGTTCACTACTCTCTAGCATGTAGAACTGTGTCTGGCACATATTAGGCAACCAGTATTTGTAGAATAAATGAATAAAATGAGAATATGGAAATTTCTGAAAGAGCAAGTATTTATGGGGAAAAGGTATGCTTTTAACTAAAACATAACTGTCAGTACCCCAATTATCTGGAGTCAGATGTTCAAATCCAAACTGCCAAAATTTCCATTAGTTTTTCTCTTTCCAACCATTGCCTGAGCAGAAGAATCTTATCAGGTCTTTACCTAATAAGGACCTAATGAAAAATGAACATTTCCTTCATTTTCCAGTCTTTTCAAAGCACACATGTGCATTCATATGTTAAATATCATTTTTGACAGAATATTAAACACCTGAGCTACATATTAACTCCTTTCTATTTAAAAGATACTTTTGATTAGGATAAAGTAACTGTCAGTACCAGACCGGGTGCAGTGGCTTACACCTGTAATCCCAGCACTTTGGGAAGCCAAGGTGGGAGGATTACTTGAACTCAGGAGTTTAAGACCAGCCGAGGTAACATATCAAGGTCTTACCTCTACACAAAAATCAAAAAACAAAACAGGCTGGGTTTGGTGGCACATGCCTGAAGTCCCAGCTACTCGCTGAGGAGGAAGGATCACTCTGAGCCCAGGAGTTTGAGGCTGTGGTGAGCCGTGACAGTGCCACTGCACTCCAGCCTGGGCGACAGAGTGAGACTCCGACTCAAAAAACAAAAGAAAGAAACAAACTGTTAGTAATAAACTAACAGAAAATCAGTCAGTGCTGAAACACAGTTCTTTAGGGTACAATATAGCATATTCTTTGCATAGCACCACGATGCTTCCTTTGAAGCTGAGCTTGAAATATGGGGTATACCTTTGACACATCAATTAATAAAATATAAGCACAATTTCTGAGCCTGGTTAGTAAAAATTTAATCAGCAAATAGATTTGTCATATAAAAGCACTAGCTGTATTTCTCAAGCGATGCCCATTACTCTTTTGTTTAATATGTCTATTTCCAAGAGCCTCCACATCCTGTAATGAACGGTGGTCTCAGCCTTGCCCTATCTTTTAAACTAAACGTGAAACAGAAATGTATAACTGAGGCTGCTCCAAATCAAGATGGAAACGCCACATTTCACAAATATAATTACATGTACAAAAGAAATCAAAACTCTACATATCAAAATGACTTTTAAAGTTTAAATATAATGTTACTAGATCTATGGCAATTTTCACATAGCCCTTTGAAAAGCACCAAGCAGCTCGCCATATCGTATAATTTTTCTAAAAAAAAATCAACAGATCTGAAAAGACTTTTTAGATTATACATCTGAAGAAAAAAGAGAAAATAATAGTAACCAACAATGTAACTTGTGATGCTGGACAAAACTGGAAAGGCATTTATAGTCTGTCAAATGTGATATTAACTACAAAGCTAAACATTTTATTGGGAAAATAGGCAAAAACCAGAAAATAATATAGTGCAATTTTAAGTGAAAAGATAGAGATGAAAATAGCCACCTTCAAGAGAACATGCCAAAATACATTCAGCAACCCTTGGGGCAGTATCAAAAGGGGCAATGCACCATAAACCTGGCTGTAGAAAGAATAATGGGGCAGATTACTCACATAATTGACACAAAGAGAATGGATATAGTACGTATAAAGAAGAAAGTATGTTTTGACTCATTTAAAATTAATTCTAGTTTTAAAAAAATCATTAACAAAAATGAATAGTTATTAAAGAGAGATTTCTATTGAAGCAGAAATTTAAAAAATTCTCTAGAAATTCTACTGTGTTTTAGTCTGACTCCCCATCTGGATTCTCTGCAGTAAAGCCGTGTTACCAGGTAAAATCATATTATAAATGAGGTTCTTTTGGAGCTTCCTTTGGGAAACTTGCTGGCCTAGGTGCATGACAGAGCTATCTTTTATAATGCAGTTGTGTAAGTCCTAACAAAGACCCAATGAACTTGACTGTCCATAGAAATCCCCTTATGTGGAAGGAAATTACTACAAAATGATATCACAGCATGATGAAAATATTAGATTACATGTTATAATCAAGTCAGAATAAATGAGGACTGAAATCATAGATATTGTATTCACATAAGAATACTGTTTATAAATTTAACTGTACCATAAAGTCATAGCCGTAGCTAAAGGTAAAGTGAGAAGTAAAAAGTTTGCCAGTAAAAGTGACCTGAATTTGATGACAGATGAATGAAATCATAGCCAACATTTTTAAAACACAAAGCTAACCAGATAATACAAATTCTTTTGTCAGTATGCATAGTGGTGCCTCCTCCATCCACCCTTTACAACCTGCTCCCGGGGTCCTTTCCAATCTTTCCCAGCACACAGAAAGGAATAAGACTCATGCAGCAGGCTGGGGACAAGGGGACTTGACACGGATCCCTGCCCCTCTGTAACCTTCATGCATACGCTGTGCAGCTGCTCCGCTTTTGAGAAGATGGTATCGTTCACCTAAAGAATACCAAGTGTTGAAAAAGCTATTTCTACTCCCCACCATCCCCTAAATAATGATATGCCTCTTGGAAAAATGTATGCAGAAACAAATCCATGTCACTTTTCAATGAATTTTAAATGGCATCTACCAGAAAACAGCATTTTTAGGTTATGATGCACAAAAGCAAGCACTGTGGTAAATCTAATTCAAGAACCAGATTGAGAGGGGACAGAGCATTAAGATTCTATTAACCCATAATTTAAAGAGCCTGTTCTAATTTGTAGATTTTTAATTAGACATAAGTACCAAGCAAAAGAAACTTAAAAATCACGACTCATTTCAAAACTTCATTACAGACATAAGAAGGGACAGAGGAGCAGAAATACAGCCTTTTGTGTTTGTAAATACTTCAAAGCCTCAAATGATTGGCTAGAAATATACATAAAGAGTAAGAAAAGCAAAGCCTTTTGACGTTGTTATGGAGATTTTGTAAAGACAAAAAGCAAAAAACGCCCCCCAAAACCAGAAATAAAATAGTAGTATAGGTTAATTTAAAAAAGAAAGTTATACAAGCCAAGAAAGAGTACCATATACACACTCCTATTCACCACATTTTAGAAAGATTCTGAAGCAAAATGTTTTGTTCATTAGATGAAAAGTCTCTTCAAAGGTGCTTTCTCTTCCTTTGTGAGTGAAAGAACACCCGACCCCAAAGCCACAAAGTGAAATCTACCACCAAGGAGGCTAATGAACAGCAGACTTCCTACTCCAGTTGGTAAAACCAGCTGCTCACTGATTGGGCATCTAGAGCTGCAGGTTCATCCCGTTCCAGTTTACAGACTACTCATTTGCAGCAAAGGCTACTTAGAGAAATTTCACACCTGCTGATGTGGGTCGGACTACATCTTCCTATAACTCGTTCCAGCATTCTTCCAACAGATGCGCACGCTGCTTCTCCTTCTGGGAAACAGCACATGGAGTCCAAGCACTTGATACTTGAATTTGCTTCAGTAAGCTGGAGGAGTTGAAACAGAAAAAAATTAGTTGTTTATAGACCTGGACTTCCAAAACACATTAAACAAAATTACAGCAAGCACTTTCAAACCAAAAGTAATGCATACAAATATACGTTTCTTTACACTATAGGAAATGTATGAAAGGCTTTAATTAGTAGCGTATAACTGTATAAAATTATTTAAAAGCCTTATAGCCTAAATTAGAGGTCGAGTAAAATAATTATATAAAAATCAGCAGCTAGATATTAGCCAAGACAAAGGCTTTTAATATTTTATTTTAGTGACATATACTGGCCAAAATGACTTTCACCAACCACTCAAAGAAACTTAGTAAATTCTAATTCTTCATGTAGTTTTTTTTAGGTGAGATGCTCCTGTAATTTCAATTTTAAAATGTCTAGCAATTGAGACAAGTAGAGTGTGAGCTGTCTTGAAGACTGGGGAAGTAGCAACCAGGTAGGACCCAACCCCAATCTTCAACAGTAACAGCAGCACCAGGAGCTTTATGTAGTGTTTACTATGTGCCAGGCTCCAAGCACTTTACACATATCCACTCCATAGTTATCTTGGAAAAAACAACATTTACCTTAAATTGCTAACTAACTGTTAAGTGCCATCCATGCCCATAATTAGCTCGTCCTGCTTTTTAAGTTAGCTGATGGCACATGGATTAAAATTTATTAAACAAGTGAATACTTAGTACTATTAAGAAACGGAATTACTTTTTGAAAGCATGCATGCTATATATTGATTCGGGCATAAACAGCCCAGCAAAATAACTTAGTTCTATATTACTAACAATTTAAGTTGTGTTAAAATGAGAGGGGAAGATGGGATGACCACATAGCTCAATGAATCCCAACCCTGGTTTTTATTAGTCAAGGCTGCTCCTAAATTTCTCAAGGGTTGTTGTTTTTTAAAAATACTTATTTTAATTCACTTTCCTTTACATTTGTGACATCCTGCATGACACAGAACAATAGAAATAAATTCATTAGAAGGCTGTACTTCCACAAAGGTTGGGAATCACCACGTGTCAGGTGTAGGCATGGCAACAGAGGACACTGTGGAGATGCTCACAATGGACACAAGACACGGATGTGGTGGAACAGAAATAACCTGGCCTTCGGAACGAAAGCAACTGTGATGTTCTGCAAGAGCCACGCTGAGAGTGACCCTACTCAACACACAGCAGTGTGACACAGAACACAGATCCTAGCAGGCAACTGCCAACTAGACCAGTGTCTGAGGACCTGCTAAGTAAGCACTGAGAAAGAACCAAACATGACTTATTCTTTTGTTACAATAGTCTTGGTTTAGGATTGTCTAGAGCACCGTTTCTTAAACTGTGTTTTGTGAGATGTTTACTGACACTTCATGAAAAACAGGACCTGTAGCCAATTAAATTTGAGAAACACTAATTCAACAAAAAATTTTTTTCTGCCTTGAGTTGACGGGGGTGTCACTTTGTTGCCCTGGCTGGAGTGCAGTGGCATGATCATGGTTCATTCACCACAGCCTTTACCCTCTGGGCTCAAGTGATCCTCCTGCCTCAGCCTCCTGAGTCCCTGGGTCTACAGACATGTGCCACCACACTTGGCTAATTTTTTGATTTTTTTTATAGAGACGAGGTTTTGCTATGTTGCCCAGATTGGTCTTGAACTCCTAGGCTCAAGTAATCCTTTCACCTTGGCCTCCCAAGTGCTGGGATTATTACAGGCGTGAGCCACGGGCCTGGTCCCAGTGAAGTTCCAAACAGATTTTTTTTTTTTTTTTGAGTTGGAGTCTCACTCGGTCGCCCAGACTGGAGTGCAGTGGCCGCACCCGGCCACCGCAGCCTCGACCCGCTGGGCTCCAGGATCCTTCCGCCTCAGCCTTCCGAGTAGCCGGAATGACAGGCAGGCGCTACCACACCCGGCTGATTTTTTTATTTATTGTAGAGATGAGGTCTCGCTGCCCAGGCGGGTCTCCAACCTGCGGGCTCAGGCAATCCACTCACCTCAGCCTCCCAAGGCGCGGGATTACAAGCTGAGCCACCGAGCCCGGCTCAAACAGATTTTTTAAGTAAAGAACTATCAGTAAGTCAAGACACAGTCAGTCTCCATGGGGGATGCCTGAGATATAATCCTCCCACTTGTTTACTCAATGAACTCCCCTCCCTCCTAACAGGAAACATTAGTTAACACCGGGAGGAACATTAATATTCAGATAAATGGTTTGGGAAATGCTGGTTTAGGTAACAGGCTTTCACCATTTCCCAGTTTTCTCTTCGGGTCCCTGGGCTCCTGCTTCCCCAGTCTTAGTTTCCTTCTCCGTAGCAACCAGGACTCCAGCGCTCCCACCTGCTCCAAGGATAAAGTCAACACCCCAAACGCCCCAGGCCCTCTATCACCTGACCCCAGGCTGCTTTTCTGGCTCTTCCACTCAGGGCTCCTGTGCAGTTTCCACTACAGCCAACTAGGCAGTGCTCTCTGCCTGTGGGCATGTGTCGGGGCCTGCTATCAGCTAGGGTCACAATGCTGACCCTACACTGAGGTTCAGTTCAAATCCTATCATCGCCATGAAACCACCCCTCCCCTCTCCAACTGAGTCATCTCTTTCTCTCTGGATTCTAGTCCACTGCTCGTCTGCATCCCTTAAATGACACAAGCATTAACTTAAATTCAGCTTATATTTATTTATTTACTGTTATTTTTTGAGTCGGAGTTTCACTCTGTTGCCCAGGCTGGAGTGCAGTGGCATGCTCACGGCGACTGCAGCCTTGACCTGCTGGACTCAGGTGATCCTTCTGTCCGTCCCAGCCTTCCAAGTAGCTAGAACCACAGGCATGCATCACCATGCCCAGCTAATTTTTTTAATTTATTGTAGAGACGAGGTCTCACCATGTTGCCCAGGCTGGTCTCGAACCCGTGGGCTCAGGTAATCCTCTCGCCTCTGCCTCCCAAAGTGCTGGGATTACAGGCGTGAGTCACCATGCCCGGTTTCAACTTCTATTTATTGAGCAAGATTCTGTGCCAGTTACCACAGGAGAGAGCAAATCCTGCACTCAGTCTTGTGAGCTACAGATAAAGGTGAGGAAGAGGACAAGTTAATAACACACACTGATGCAGTATGTTAATGGATGCTTAACACAGATGTGCCAGTTACTATGAAAGATGCTTCTCTCGCAATGTCTCATTTAAAACTGTTATAATAACCCGTTGGAATAGGCACTATAATCATCCCCATTTTACAGAAGAGGAAACAAAAAGATGAAGAATTTGTTCAAGGTTACCCACCAAAGCTGGGGCTTGAATCTTGGTTTGACTACAGAGCCCAAAGCCCTTGACTGTGCCTCTATACTGTCTTCTAAATTGTTTTCTACTCAGAAAAGAAGAGCTCAAACCCAGTTGCTGCTGGTGGTACCAGTGGGAAGGAATGAAAGATCTGATGAAAAAGATGGCATTTAAAATACCTCTTGAAGGATGGGAGGTATTTCAACAGCTGGAGATGGGGGACAAAGGGCACTCCAAGCTGGTGAAGAGAAAGAGTAATTGTGTGTGGGCACAAGTGTGGTGCATATTCTGCAGAGGCTTAACTTAAGCATAAGGGAGTAGTTGTTACTATGGCCCCCTCGCAAAAAGGCCAGAGTGACTCAGTGTGGAATCCATGGATCCGTGCTTATCTGTAATCACTGTTACTGACCGAAAAAGAAATAAGCATTTCTGGTCTGTGAGAGTTTACAGTTTAGCAATTGGACAGAATACTTTTTTTTTTTTTTTTAGTTGGGAGTCACTCTGTCACTGTAGCTGGAATCACAGGCATGTGCCACTATACTCAGCTAATTGTTTGATTTACCGTAGAGATGAGGTCTCACCAAGTTGCCCGGGCTGGTCTCGAACCTGTGGGCTCAGGCAATCCTCTCACCTTGGCCTCCCAAAGTGCTGGGATTATAGGCGTGAGCTCCTGCACCCGGTCAGACAGAATACTTTTATAACTGTTGAATCTAACAATAATTTTAAAATTGGGGCTTATTTTATATATGTTTTAAATTTCATTTCCCTAGTAATTTATTTTGATTCTATTTACAAATGTATTGGTCTATCATGTATTAGAAATTAAAAACAAGAAAATAAAGCAAGAAAACAACAAACTGGTCCTTTACCCAATTTACCAGGGAGCACAGAACTAAACCAGAAACAAGAGCAAGCAAGGATCTTGTCTGATACTTTTTAGTTAAACAACATTTACTTTGCTCAAAGTTGGTGCTCAATCAACTGAGAAGGATTTACTGAGGGTGACATACAGAAAGTCACCAGCATCTGAGTGTCCATAAATGTGCAGGACACTCAAGTCTGGATCTGACCTCAGGTAATCTGCTTTGTATTAATCACCTTTCACTTTAAAACCTGAGGACAGGCATTAAAATATGGACAACCAGTACATATCTTGAAATATCAAAAAGAAATGAACTCTTCAGGGCACCTTTCTAAATTAAGCAAAATATTACTTCCTTTTTTCCCTAAACAGGAAAAAAAAAAAAAAAAGAAGAAGAACCCAGCTGCTCCCTGTAAAGTCACCTATGGAAAAGGTCATACTTTCACCACCAAACCTTAAAGCTCTGCCACCCATGTGCAAACCTTTCACCTTAATCTGCAGCCTGTGGCCATAGCTACCATATCGTGAATCGAGTGGAGCATTTAGATCTCATTTCATTCAAAGTAAGGAGAGGGAATCATTTCATTTTGGGGGGACTACTTATAAACACTAAAAAAGAAAAAAGGCATAGTAAGGGGAATGAGACCGTATCTGGTGGTGTCAAATAGTAACTTTACTTATTTTTATTTTTTTTGAGTTAGCATCTCACTCTGTTGCCCAGGTTGGAGTGCAGTGGCATGCTCATGGCCACCCCAGCGTTGACCTGCTGGGCTCAGGCAATCCCTCCACCTCAACTTTCCAAGTAGCCAGAACGACAGGCACACATTACCATGCCCGGCTAACTTTTTGATTTATTGTAGAG